GTTCAGCAGATGAGTACATCTGGTTTTACTTTGATACCTGCATTATGAATCTGATCTGTGTGTCAAAAGGACAGAGGAGGGCCATGAAGGATGATCAGAGGGCTGGAGCACCTCTCCTGTGAAGGCCGGCTGAGAGAGTTATTCTTGTTCAACCTGGAGAAGAGAGGCCCTGGGAAGACCTTAGAGCAGCTTCCAGTACCTAAATGGGGCCTACAAGAAATCTGGAGAGGGACTTTTTACAAACGCATGTAGGGGATAGCACAAGGAGGAATGGCTTTAAACTGATTGAGGCTAGATTTAGAGTAGACTTTAGGAAGAAAGTGGATAATTGACAGGCTTAAAATACTTATTGCCACAGTTGCCTGTGGTTGCTGGGGGCTGCAAATGAGGACATAAGTCATCCCTTCCTATCCTGTGTTCCAGTATAAAGCTGTTTCAGAAGCTTTTTTCTTCCACTAGTAATTTTTTTAGGCTTTAGGATCAAAGTCTTCAGGGAGAGGCCTATAAAAGTAGTCTTTTTCTCCCCAGCTGGTGTGTAAACAGTCCTCATAAACAGCATGGGAAGCTGTGACTAGATAAGGAAAACAGTCTAAGAGCTATTGGCAAAGCTGCTGCTTTCAAAGAGTAATCAATCAGTCAAAAGAGACGCAGTGTGGCTTTTGCCAAGCTCTTTAAATGATAGAAATCTCACAATTCTTATTGTTTGGATACTATTCATTTTAAATTAAATAGTAATTAAAGGGGGCTGTACAAAACATCCAAGTGCACTGTCACCTAATCTTGGAGATTTATTTACCCAATAATATTAAAAAAACCCAAAATTTTTTTACAACAAAAAAGAACAGTTTTGCTCATCTTTGCCAGTGAGTCACCTTTCAAAAAGCAGTGCTCTGCGTTCGATCTTCTCCTGGGACAGTCTCCCTTCTGGCAAAAGCATGACTGGTAGAATGCAGAGCCTGAGATTTTGAGAAATTCATGCTGTAGCAGCATTAAGGAGTCCACAGCTGTCTGCAGGTAACATTATATGTTCCCAGTGCATCTTAGGTCCAGAGTGGAGACATAAATAAATTGCTTTTCAGATCAGGTCACTGCTGATCATTTGTTTTGATGAGATTCCACTTCTTCCTTGAGTTTCACTGGTTGAGCGTGTGCTCCGTCATCACTCATGCTGGGAGCCAGTCTGCTCTGCTCAGAGAGCATCCCCTGTCTGCAGCCTGCTTCCTCACTTCTGCACTGAGCTGTCAGCATAAAAATACTTTGTCTTACCTCCCTCGGGAGTCTCCCACTCTTCACTCCAAAGGCATTTTCCGTATCACTTAAGTCTTTGCCTGGCGAAATGCTTAATCACTTAAAGGAACTTCCCAGCCTAGAGTACATGGCTTTTTATGTTCTATAGTCCACAAGACCTGTGCTAGAAAGCTATACAGATACCTGTTTGTAGAAGGGGACATTTCCAAAGACTCATTCCACTCCCAGGCCTGGTACTGCTCTGTGCGAATTCACCTAGATCCATGTGGGCACTGGTGTCTCTGCAGCCTATGCTTGTGCTGGAAATCAGGCCCAGAAGCCAGGTAGCTGTGGGTCATCAGATGAGGATTTTTGAAGTAAACCTCCCTATCATCCTGCTTACTGCCTCGTGATTAACACTGTGGGGTGGTCTTAGTGCTTAACCTGCATTACCTTTGAATTAAACTTGATCAGATGACAGCCTACCTACTGCTGTGTAGCCACTCATGGACCACTCATCGGACCAGAGGTGGTTGCAAGTAAAACCCCTGAACCTCAGTTAGTGTCAATACTGGGTCCTTCTCAACAATTCACTCTACAGATCCCCTCATTTTGGTGGTGTGGACATAGTCTGTGTTGACAGGGGCTGAGACTATGCTAATGCGTTCTGCTGAGCACCAGGGCAAACCAGCTGAGGCAAAACCTGAGCCTATTGGGTTACCTGACTCCCAGAGCAAAGATAGCTCTTGTTACTCCACATGTGGGAGTGGAAGGAGAGTAGACATAAAGATGTCTATACACTCCCCATAGCTTATATTAATGCACTGGAGGTTCCTGACAACTTTGGGCTGTCTGCCGTCTGATTCTCTGGCAAACAACTTGCAACCTGAGCTTGCTCTTCTGGGTGCAATGTGGGATGCTGATTCTCTGTGTTGAGAGATGTGCCAGTCAGCTGATGAGTCTCTCTGAAGCTTGCATTTCTCTGAAGCTTGAGATGAATTTGCATCTCAGTGGACATGGAGACTTGTGAGTTAGGGTTTCTAGTAGGCAGGTCTCTCTCGTGTTGCAGCTTCCAGTTCTCAGCCCTGGTTTATCCTTGCCATTCACCAGAATCTGACCATCTATTGTTTCCAGTCCCTGACACTGGTCTTGTGACCAGTGAAAACCTTGTTCAGTAGTTATCTAAATGGAATAGAAGCTGTGGCTTTTAGAAAGGCTTTTAATTTATCTTGTGGGTGGTTATCTTCTCAAGCACAGATACTAGCTCCAAAAGAAATGAAGAAGTAATGTCTGGAAGGAGCTAAAAAAGCGAATGAGATTAGTTGGTATGACTAAGATCACTGTTTTAGTAAAAAAATTTAGTAAAAAAAAAAAAAAAGATGTGACAGGGAAAAAAAGGTTTATTGTCTCAATCCTTTGAGTTTCAATATTTAAGCAGTTTTGGCTTTTTCTATATCTGGAATTACTAGTGGTAGTAATGTCTGTAATGGCCTTACAGTTTAGCAGGGAAGTCTATCCTGATGTCTGCTTCTGCTTTTCTTTTTGCTCGGAGTTCCCTAAGTCCTTAAATCAGGAGTTTTTTCTCATTTAATTTGCTTGTGTAGCAAAAGCAGTGGTGGCAAAATCAGCAGATACCAGCTCTGTTCTGCAAATACCAATCGTGATGCATTCACCACAATTTGGGAACCCATGTTTTAAATCCAAATTGCTTGTCTGTAATGTGAGTGCTTTCAGTCAATTCAATTTATCATAGTCTATCTCGGTGCCCCAGATGTGGTGGTTTGGGGCTGTTAAATATGCTCTTTCAGTTAACTATCACAGCAGGATGTTGCTATTTATTAAACTATGTTACAATAAGTGCATGAAGCAAACCAAGCGAGAATTGCTGCCTTCATTGCTTAAGCAAATGTATCCCTAAAGAGAAGGGAAGGCAGGAAAAATGGCAATCACAGCCCTGACCCTTCCGTGCAAGCCAGCAGGACACAGGGAACAACTCAAGCAGGGCTCTTCAAAAGGAGGCTCTCAGTGTAGCTGCAGCATGGGGGTGAGTGGTGGTGGGAGGAATTCTGGCCAAGGCAGACGAAGTTTCCCCAGGGACTGGTTTTCCAGCCCAGCTCCTCTGCACGTTCAAATATCTCCTGCACAATAGTACCCTCTGTGGCTCAGCCAAAACCACGCAGCAGCTCTGCGGCAGAGATAAGAATAGAATCCAAGTTTTCAAGCTGAGGTCAGGGTGAGTCTTTCATTTAATATATATCAGACCTGTGCTTGGGCACGTGCGCTAGTGGAAAGATCATGGACAGATTTGCTCGTATAAAAGCCAGCCCATCCTTAATGATTTGAAATGCTAACATGACTTGGCTTGTACATGAGTAGGTAGACGAATGATTTCACAGGAAGACAATCCTTTTACAAATGTGCTTCTAATTCTGCATTTATATTGTTTCTCCTCTGTGTCAGCTGCTCACTTAGGAGGCCCACTGAAAAAGCAGTCACAGTAAAACCAGTGGGAGTACTTGCAAGGAAAAAGGGTGCTCCCATGAATAGAGATGGCAGCTCTGGGTCATTAACTGGGGGGAGAACTGCTTGGGATTTTCTCTGCCTCTCTTCAGGCTAAGTATGCCTGATGTGCCTAAGTATGTCACCAGCAGTGCAAATGCATAGTGTTGATCAGTGAAATTTTAGCTGAAGAATATGAGAGGCAGATGTGTATTGGAGTCGCTTTCTTTGATACAGAATTGTGGCTTTGTTTGAAGGGTGATAATTTGATGCCGTGGTTCCTAAAGCTGCTGATCTCCTGTTTGCAGGTGAAGAGGAGGAGGATGGAATAGAAAGGACCTGTGACACCCTGCTCATGTGCATTGTGACCGTATTAAACCAAGGCCTGCGAAATGGTGGTGGTGTGGGAGACGTGCTCAGAAAGCCTTCCAAAGATGTAAGTGCGTTGGCTGAGTAAATGCATTACTCCCTGTTCATCTCATGAATGCCAAAGTCAATTTTTGGAAGTAATAGACAGTATTTGTATCTAGTCTGCTCTAATGTCACACAGTTGATTTATCCACATAATTTTTACATCCCAGATGGACTATTTCATGAGAAGAGCTAAGCTAGGTGTGATGATGATACTTGAAGAAAGGAACTCTAGGTAGTAGTCTATCCCTTCTGGAAAACTGGAGCATATTGTAACCTTCCAAGCATTGCTAAGAAGTGTTGCTAGATTGGATCACTTTTCTATTACACTAGGAATTATAAATGCAAATTTTTGAAAGGGATTGATTTATGAGTATATGTCAAGACTCTCCACTGTAGTATATAAGGTGTATTTTTAGCTGAAATGCAGCATGACATCTGCCTTGAAATAGGTCCTGTTGTTTACTTGTACTCAGTTAGCACCAAACTCAAGACGGAATTTCATATATTATGGTATATGTCCTCTTCCAGAAGTTTCCTCCAAAATTCAATCATTCAAGGACTATTCTTAATATTTGGATGGTTTTAGGCATTTTTATTGAAGTTCAAAAATAACATAATACATAAAGGCAATCAAGCAGCCATTTGCTTGGTAAGCCACACCATTGCACCAGGTTTACATTCACAAGTGGGATCTCAGCAGGACTTGCAGGAGTCCAGAGACAAATAACTCGGATCTGGACGGAAGAGCTCTTTGCGCTGGTAGCGGGAATCTCGGTCCTATCTTATATACATAATCCATCCCCATGAAGTCTGTAAACGCTTACAGACTTTGAAAATTACTCTTGCCACTTAGCAGCTAACTACGTTAAAGCACTTCACAAAGGGAAGCGCTATTATCCCAATGAATGTGTGGGAATCTGACAAAATCAGTGACTACCAAGTCAGTGTCATGGTGAAGAAAAAGTCTTGGGTTTTATGTTGCTCCTCCTTACACTGACTGTCACCTCCTGTTTGCCAAATAACACCTTTGCTATTTTCAGAGGTGTCAATGAGAGTCCAGTCCAGCCTTTGCAAGATGGAAAGTAGCTATGATGTAAAACCAAGAGTGTGATGAAATGGGGAATATGAGCACTCGTGTGTGTGCATGCACATGTGTATGTTTGTATGCATGTGCATGTTGTGTTCCCAAGAGACACTTGCTATGCCTGCCCACTCTGAGACAGCTTACAGACGTGATCGTGTCAGCACAGTGCTAAACCCATTAACATGCACTGCTTGGGCGCAGACTATAGTAGCCTGGCCTTGGCATCACACAAGCGTGCTCCCCTGGCTTCTAGTTGTTCGGTGTGAAAACTTGGTATTGGACTGGAGTATTCCACAAAGGCTTTCTGTAAGCATATCCCTGTATGCCACAAGGCAGTGTTAAAAAGAGCTAACATTGCTCTCAGTGGGTACTACAAACTGCATATCCCTGTTTCTGTACTGGCAAGGTAATAATCTTCAGTCAAGCACTACACTAATGCATCTATGCAGCATCCGATACAAAAGCTAGTCTCTGTGCTGTGTGAAACATAATGGGCAACAGGAGTCCCAGTGCTATAAGAGCACATGAAGCCAAATCTTCTTTGCCTAGCCACATAGGTAGTCCCTCTCTTTTTCTCTGAGTAAGGCGAGCAGAATTTGGCATATGGAAAAAAAGATGCGTAGCTTTGCATGAGCTAATGCGAAAACGTTGTTTAATATTTTAAAGGTGTGCTATTTTTGTATCTTATTGCAACTTTGTTACTGTTTCAGGAGCCCTTGTTTGCTGCACGAGTTGTTTATGATCTTCTGTTTTACTTCATTGTCATAATTATTGTTCTAAACCTAATCTTTGGAGTCATTATTGATACGTTTGCTGATCTCAGGAGTGAAAAGCAGAAAAAGGAGGAAATACTAAAGACAACCTGTTTCATCTGTGGTAGGTGTTACTGAGCTATTGAGACATTTGATGAGGAAAGGAGTAAAATTAACTACTCCTCAATAAATAAAGTGTGGAACAAATGGGTCCATCTTCCGAGGAAAGTTTGTAAAAATGTCAGTTTGGTTCCAGATTTCTTCCCTCTCAATAAGAAAAAGATTAAGTTCATAAGTCAAAAGCTAGCTTTGCTAAGATATGGCTTCGCAGTCTCCACCCAGGATCTGAGAGAGAAGAGCTATCTCACACTCGCATCATCACTACTAATGGAGATGGTGCAGCTGCTGACTTTATTTCACAGAGCATGATGCAGATGAAAGTACAGCTTGCTATTTCACAGCACAGTGCATTCCAGAAGGGTAACAACAGCAAAATTTGCCTGTTTCAGAAGATGATATGAAACAGGGAATAAAAGAATTAAATGAAAATCATCCCCACAAAACCCATGAATAAATCGCTCTTACTTTGAGGTGCACTTGCAAAGAGGCAGACCTTCACTCCCTCAGGGAACTTCAGAAATACCTTCTTTTTTGCAGACTGGGTGTTGTTTCCATTCTTGTACTGACAGGGATGAGTGTCGTGCAGCGCACACCAGCTTTAGTGTCTGTGGAAGGCTCCACAAGAGATCCAGGGAGGAAAGCTGTAGCACAAAGGCAAACATTTATGAACCCTGTTCTTCCTCACTGTGGTATCCTTCTTCAGAGATTTGACCCATTATAGGAAAAATGTAAAAATTTCTTATGAGTACAGCTCTGTAAAGATCGTGTGACTACAAAGCTGCAGAGATTCACACTCTCTGCTAGGTTTAAGCACACAAACAATCCCACCGCAGCTTAAGTGGGACTATTCATGTGCCTGATGCTAAATGTGTACATAAATCTTTGCAAGATCAGGACCTAGATTGCACACAGTGTACTTACCGGTATAGATTTAGAAAGAAGCAGAGCCAACAGTTGTAAAGGACTTTATAGCCCTTAGCATAGAAGGCACTATAAAGCTGCAACATATTTATTATATTGTTATTGTTATTAAGAGGAAATATCACAAAAGAGAATAAATGCTGCGCTGAAAGAATTCTGTCAGGACTGCCTTCTGGCCTGGTATTTCTTGCCTGGCAGTTGTTGTATGTGGTTACAGCTTTTAAATTAAGATCCTTCAAATTTATGATCCTTTAAATTAAGTTAGGTTCCTTTCTCTAACATATTTAAAAGATTTGCATATTTTATGTTGAAGTTTATTTTTTTTGCTTTATGTCCATGTCCTTTTGCAGGACTGGAGAGAGACAAATTCGATAACAAGACCGTTTCATTTGAGGAGCATATAAAGTCAGAACACAACATGTGGCATTATTTGTACTTTATAGTTCTTGTCAAAGTTAAAGATCCAACTGAATACACTGGCCCAGAGAGCTACGTGGCGCAAATGATTGTGGTAAGTCAATTTTGGCACAGCCTTTATGCAACTGAGAGATGCTCCTTGCAGCTAAAGCAGAGAATATCTTTCTTTTTCGCTCTGTCTGAACAATAGGAGGCATCGATCTGTATTTTTAAAGATCTTTTCACGTGTCTTAGTCTGCAACAAAGCCCAGTCTTAAACATAATGTAAAAGACGAAGGCACAGGCCATAGTCTCCAGTTTGGCATTCGTGCTCTCATGCTCTGTGGTTTCTGCTGCCTCATTAGCCAAACCAGGGGCAGAAGAGCATGCATCATAACATCTGCTGCTGCTCTGGCTTTGTCCAGTATCTCTAGGCTGTTGTCCAGAAAAATAACATCTCCTGCTAAACAGTGAAACACAGGGTCAGTGTTGAGGGCTAGTGCTTTTCTCCTATGAATGCTCTGAATAAGCTATCAAAAAGACCAAGAAGAGCTGCTGCAGGATTTGAAGAGCTGCAGAAACTGCCTTGTGAAGCAGTGAGAGTATGACTTGGATTCAGAGGGAGAAATTTGATGACACTGGGGCAGAGAGATATTCAATTACATTTCATTTCCAGCCTGCTACTGAAGAGGATTCATTCAGGTGAAAGGGATGGATTATCTAGGCTGACTGGTTTGGGGCTACATTTTTGAGGAATCCTTCCTACATGCTGGTATATTGTGGTGCAGCATTTTCTTCCCATGGACTTCCTTGCAGCTATTGCACAGCTCAGTGCCTGTGCCAGCATCTGTGATTGCAGAGCTGGCTTATGTTGGAATCCCAGAGGTGAGTGTAACCGGTGCACATCAGGCTTTGCTGTTTATGCATTTCGGGAGCCACACTGCTGTTGAGAGTATCTGCTCAGTTATCCCTCATCAGGCCTTTCATTATATGTGCCAACCAGCTTCACTAGTGAGATACTTGGGGACTACAAGGATGGTGGGGAGGGACTCTTTGTTAAGGACTGTAGTGGTAGGACAAGGGGTAATAGGTTCAAACTTAAACAGGGGAAGATTAAGTTAGATATAAGGAAGTTCTTCACAGTGAGGGTGGTGAGGCACTGGAACAGGTTGCCCAAGGAAGTTGTGAATGCTCCAACCCTGGTGGTGTTCAAGGCCAGGCTGGACAGAGCCTTGGGCGACATAGTTTAGTGTGTGGTGTCCCTGCTCATGGCAGGGGGGTTGGAACTAGATGATCTTAAGGTCCTTTCCACCCCAAACTATTCTATGATTCTATGATTCTATGCTGGATGCCCTTTTAGTCCTCAGTTAAGCCAAGGGGAAGATTCTTCTCCTCTAACTTCAGTTGTTTTCAAGTCAGGAACCTGGTTTAAATTGATCCCAGGTCCCTGCCTTGTCAGTGCAGAAAGCTGGGTTATTTACCCTGTCTTAAGACAAGGTTTCTAGGATAGCTGGGGTGACTTACCCTGGCATTGCCTTTCTTACTCCATTGAGAACCTAAATGATTAGTTTAGACAAGATGCCTAATTAGGAGCTGGCCAAAATTAGAGGAGACGACTCCCAACCGCTCTGCAGGCTTACACAGGGCTTACCTTGAAGAACTCACATTAGTGGAATGGCTCATGTTTAGACAGGAGTGCATGCTTGAATACTGCAATGAAATGGAGCTTTGGTAAGTCCTACTACCACTACATGGGAAGGTGGTGTGGCAGGTGGTGGGAATTCAGTACTCAGGTACAGAGGAACAGCCTACGTCCATGGAAATTTTGACCCCTCAGTCTCATTACCCAGCTCAGGGCATTTATACTATTAGGCAGTAATGGATCTACACTTCCACAGTATGATAGGAGAGATGGAAAAACTAAAACAAAAGCTTGTATCCTCTGTTCCATTACAAGAAATTATTCATAGTGGCAAGTTGTCCTCTTACATATTAAAATATTTTAGCTTATCTGAGAAATTCACTTGAATTTGTGGACTCCAGGGCTTGTCTCATTTGTCTTTTCCTTCTCTGCTTCTCTTCCTCTCCCTCCAATGTGTCTACGATTATAAAATTTGTGAGTATGTATGTTAAGTGTTAATGTTTAATTCCAGGGATGCATTAATATTCATAGTAAGTGTATCCATCCTGTGGCAGCAGTGGTTTGACTTTTCTGATGTAATTCAACTAATGTATTTTATGTTTGAATTAATGGTGGAAACTCCTGTTTGAATATCTAAAATATTAACAGAAAAGCACCAAAATACATGTGACTTCAAGCACTGAACTGATTTCTCAAATCCCCTGTTCCTCTGTGTCAGAATGCTGGTGGTTTAAACGGTTAGTAATAATCCAGATTTTGGGATTATTAAGCCCTTTGAAGGAAGGCTTGTTTTTTCCATGGGTATATGTAAAGTAAATGGTTGTTCTGGATGATGGGAGAGGTATATATGAACCTAGAAGTGTAAAGTTTACATGGAATGGAAGAGGGAGTGGAGGAGTGGGGGGAAAAAAGGTGAAACAAATGCTTGAACAAACTATAAACGGCTGGTGTGGGATTAGTAATTACATCTTTGTGTAATTTCAATTCCCCAGTACAAGATCTAGGGAACGTGTGCTGCAGAAATACTGGCACTGCAAAGCAGAAGCAATTGGGACTACTTAAATGAACCAAAAAGGACTGTCTCACTTGAAGCCAGAGATTACTAATACCACAGGGTACAAGCAATATTAAGAAAGGAAGGAAAATAATCTGGCTGAAAGAGTGGAGTATTCTGTAAGTATGATACTGGAAGAAGAGATACAGCTTTGCTTAGGACCAAAAGACAAGTCAAAAGGAAAACTCTCGGAGGTAGTTGTGCAGCTGTCAGCTGTATGAGCTGATGTAGCGTAGGTGCTTGGTGTGTTTCAAACACAGCATGATGGTAATGAAATGACATTATGAGCATGTCAGATGTACTACATTCCATGCAGAAATTAAGCCTGAAGTACAGTTTTTGTCCTGAAGACAGAGATAAGGTGGTTCAGACTTTGGGACAGCCTGAATGCTGAGTGACCATTTTTGTGATGCTGGGAGAGATGACCAAGCTCCTGGTAAGAGACCAAGTCCCATTTAGGAGCTGGCACAAGAGAGGCAGACTTCAAATGAACCTTTCACAAGGGAACTGGGGCTTGCCAGTGGAACTGAGTTGTTGCTGAATGAGGCTCACTAGGGGTTGTATGGGAATGTGACAAATACTTATAATAGGGCGGTTGGAAGAACAGGGCAGTCTCAGGACCTCTTTGAAGAGGACAGTCGGAATGAGAGTTTATATTTTTGGTGATACAGAATATGGCTGAAAAAACTCTATGAATCATACTCCTGGAAAAGCTCTCTTAACTCTACTAGTTTTTATTATGACTAGGTATGTCTTTTATGGCTGCTTCTGTAGCGTTAATGGATCAAACCCAAATTCTGTGTTTTCACAGCCGGATTACTTAGAGAGATTTTCGAATCAAATCCAATCTTCAAGGTACAGATCCATCCTTAAATACATGTAGGTCAAAATTTTGGAGTATCCTGCAGTAACTTCTTTAATAGAAAGTAGAGTTCGGTGCCAAGTGTCATCCTCACTACCCCTACAACTGTAGTTAGGAACCAATTATTGTTTGTACTTGTCTACTACTGTCTTGCAAAGTATTACAAAAAGTAACAGCAGAATAAGTATCATGATTAAGTATCAGGGGAAGCATCTACTGTTTCTGATAGTCTCTTCTCTCCATTGCCCAGATTCATCAGGACCCAAAAATATGACTGTCTATATTATGACTCTTAGTCTTTTTTATGTCATTGCTCTAGCACACAGTGAAGCATCTCTTTTGAAGGCTTGCTGGTAGCAGAACTGGAAAAAAACAGGAATACTATGGTTTTCTTACTTTGGAATATTATTTGAAAGGCTGGGTGCCAAAAGGGATAGGAATTATTTACACATCTAATTGCACTTTTCAGTTTTCCATTTCAGGAAGGGGAAACAAACTTGTAAGTGATGTTGTACACACCTGTCACTCAAAGGCAGTTTTTTTTGCAGGTTTACCTGTTCACTTGTATCGCTTTTCCAGGGGTGGCTTGTTGCAAGGCAGTCCCATTATCTTGCATGTCTCTGGCCTCAAAAGACCTTGGAGCAGAGGACTTCTTTTGCTTTATTCCTCTGGACTGTGGACATCAGCACTACAAACTCCTAGTGTTCCCTGTGATTTTGATTTTCCCAGCAGCTCTGTATTTGCTTCATTGCTTAGCGAACTGCTCTGAGCAGTGACAGAAGTAACCAGTAGCTATGCAGCTTTCATAAAGCAAGGTATTATTTTTCCTTTTTCTCTTTTTGTCCTTTTAGAAAAAGGCATCAAGCATATAAAATGTATTGTAAAACGACACACGGTTTATACACCTCTAGCTTTTCAGACAGTTACTTTATGGAGACGTTGGTGGGAATAAAGCACTTCAGATCTTCCAGTGATGCCCGTTCTTTTTGCATACTATCTTATATCAGTTATCGGGTGAAATATTAATGAATATTAAATCAGGGCAGTAGATTTTATTATTTGTTTGTTATCCAGGCCTCTATTATGAAGTCAGGCAGGTATTATACAATATCCGAAAAGACAGAAACTTTGAAAAGCTGGCTACATGCCTTGCATTTGCACTGAGAACCTGCATGAATGATTCCCCTATTGAATTTTCATGCCTGCAGAAAAAAACTTATCTGACCCTTTTGACCAGACATACCACCCCTAGCAAACCCAGAGAGATGCATGTAACTTCTATTACATCGATACAGCAATCTTTGAATGTTCCTAGTGTCCATTTGTCAGAGGAGACAGTTTAATGCAATAACTGGAACAATGAAGATTAACATCCGTATTTTTAGGCTCCTCTTTTCAGAGGTGCAATTCGTACATGCAGGCTTCACCTAAGCTATGGTAGCTGTAAATAGATAAATGGAGGCAAAAAATGTAGATGATTAGTTACTGGGTTTTTTGCAGCAAAACAGAGCTATAAATTATGAACTCCATTCATTTGCAAAAATAAAAGGCTGTTGG